TTCACACAGTATGAAGTGGTCGTACCACTGAGTAATGCTGGAAATGAGTACACCTAAATTGGTCTGCATGGATTAATTCTGGTTTCATGATATGCCACAAATAACCTAGGGATGCTGAGATAAATAATTGCATGCCAGTGCCAATAACTCTATTTCATACTAGCTGATAAGAAAGTTATAAAATTAAAACRTTCCAACATATTTGGAGACATTTAGTGAAGGACAATTAAAAAAGCCTCTTACGCAAAACATGTGAAAGATGACACAGCAGCTGCGCTGCCTCCTGAGCTCCCTCCTGTTATTACCCAGTTAAACTCTTTGTCTTCAGAATGGGATTTTGKGACAGACTTTTCCTTGTACTGTCTTGAATAACTCCAGGGATTTCTGACTGGTCCAAATACTCCATCCGTACTCCCAGATCTAAGACAGCCAGACAGGACAAATACAGACAGAAGTGACAGATGATAGACTGTACTCACCAATTTAATTTTTTTAAATCCAATTCCTCATCCATCATCCTCATAAATTCAGTTTCAACCTAAGAAGACTGGTGTATGCAAAACTTCAACAACATTACACACAACTATAAAATTTATAGCCCTTCACAAATTTCTGACACAGAACCTGAACTGGTACCTCTTTCTAGCTTCTGCTAATGCAACTGAAAAGAATGCAATCACAGAGATGTAAAAATTATTTAAGCTGTGTAAAAGTAAGGGAGTACATCCACTTCAAAACAAAAGTATTAYATTTTCCCAACCCTGCAAGATCACAGTTGTGGGAAAAACACATGCTGCTAAAGGTGGGGAAAATGCTCCACAATATCAGGAACAAGCACTTCTCTGAAATGACACATTATCACTCACCCTGTAGCCCTCTGTGGAGGCCACAGTTCACTGGTTCAAAATGCCAGACTGGCTTCTCAGAAACTGGTTTCAGTCAGTTTGTGGTCACCCAAGTGTAAGCTGCCACCAGAAGCAGGGGCAGGGGGTACCTTCCTCCTTCCKCAGAAGCTCCACCCCATGCTCCAGCTGACTCCAAGGTGCCAGTGTTATCAGCCAAATCATCAGACAGAGTGAGCATCTGACAGCAACTGAAAACCATCCTTATTGGGACATCATTACTTTAGAGCTGGATMTGCTCCCTGATCAAGAGATCATGCAAACACTCAGACCAGAAATGAGAAGCCAGTATGGCAATAAGCCTTTTTCGGAGAATCCTGTGCTTTAATGAATTTAGACCAGTTGTAATACTGCATAATCAGGTTTTTCCAAGCTTTTTGTCTGCYCTTCCTCTGAGGAATAGCTTTTTTTACCCAGAAATTACTTTATTCAAAACAATACAGTAAAAGTATTCCCATCCATGTGAATTTCCAAYCAATCCTCTGACTTTGGCTTAATTATTATAAAACCAAAATAGAGCACGTACTGTTTTTCATAGGTAACTAAAGTCCCCAAGACTACTTTCCAGACCTAGCAGTGATTCCCATCCCTAACAGYTCAATGCCATTCTCTGCTACAGTTTGGCTGCCTTCACTGATTTGTGGAAGAATCAATTTGTAAGAGCATTTTTCAACGGGCTCCTGACAAAAAGTCACCAACATAAGCTTAGGAAACTTAAAAGCATTGCTCTAGATTAGACTGTGTGCTGCAAGTCAGGGATCACTCACACAAACTACCCCAGTGGCCGACCTGCAGAAAGCAGGGACTGCCAYTGGAGGCATGATAATAATTACCTAAGGGCAAAAAGCCATCAGTAAGGAGAGTGAAAAAGGCAGCAATTAACTGCATTGTGACCAATTCTACTAACACACTACTGAATTTAGAAGAAGGCCACTTGTCCTTGGCCTTCTGCAAAGGCTGGATCACTTCCTGCCTCTCRAGCACAGCTACATTTGAACACTATGTTCGCAAAACTCAGCGTCTGTATCATTTACACAACATTATAAATGTTCATAGAGAAGTTCATGTACAGCTCTTTGTACCCTCACAGTAAGTATTCATTATTGTCTCACCTCACAGAAACAGGAGTTAAGGATTRCAGGTAGATTGGAACAGATGCTGTGTATGCTATTTCATGTACAATCACACATTAAAAATAACAAACATCACTCACCCCATTGCAAATTCATCTAGGTTTGTTTTGCCTAAAAGCACAGCTCCCTGATCCAGTAATTTCTGAACCACTGTAGCATTGTAAGGAGAAATATAACCTGAAAACAATCACAACCATTAAGAGCAACTGGTGAGATACAAATTATTTTTACAAGTAGCTACTCTGAACATTTTTAAGTTGTCAGTACCACTTAGACCTTACATACCCTAAGATGAGAACTATGATAGTGACATGGGATCTCAGGTAGTAACCAATCATTTTGTGAATCCTGACAGGGGTTTCTCCACTCCTACTTTCATCAGGAACAAGGACATCATTCCTAATACTCATTGCGATCAATCACAACAGGTCTGAGGATGTGGTTTAAGAAAAAGCATCTCTGGTAATATAACAATTTTTACAACAGCAAAGTCATATTTTGTTTCTTTTCCTATTAAAAAAAAACTTTGATCAGAGTTCTGCTAATTTACTTGTGCTATCTTCCACAATGATTAATATAAAGTTTTACCTAGTGTAAAATAAAGCAGAAATAAGAAAYGTTTTCTACTTCTGCTTTTACTGTAGAAACTTCGTAATGCCTCGAAAACTTTCATGGCATGTTAATAGAAACAGTGAGTTTAGGAATTTTTTTTAAAGTGCCTTAAAGAACATGTTTGTATACTGGGATTGTTAATGTCTACTCTTCCTACAGCCATATGGAAAAACTATTTAAGTCAACAATTATAAATAGAACAATAACAAAAAAGCATTGTCTTTGTATTTTGCTAGGCAGAACTATACTGACTGCTCTCCTCTAGACCYAAAAGCAATGTGAAGGAAAATGTGAATTTTGGAACCATTTTATTGTAGCATATAGGTTTTTATTATAACTGTGTTAAATCCATGCAAATATAAAGTGACAATGTGCTCAGAAGAAGAAAACCATGCATCTGTAATACCAAATGACCCTGGCTGGTGAAATTGGATAAATGTATTTCCTCAAATGACTCCAGCTCATTTTTTGAAAATACCTGGATTTCTGGAAGACTCCACTCCGTAAACCCTCTAAAGAGCAAAATATCTGATTTTATTTTAAAAGTTTTACTGTACCTTTTAGCATATTTGAGGCACATGTTGTCTCAATGCCAGCTGTATTAAAGTTGTCTTTTACTGCAATAGGAATTCCATCTAAAATGCCCAGTGGCTGACCTGTATTAGGAATGATTGTAAGAGAACAGAGATTAAAGCAAAATGTGCTATAAATACAGTGCTCTCATCAGTTACTGTTTATTTTACATGTCCCTTTGGGCAGTTTCTGGAAGCAAGATTGCTCTCCACTTGGCATTTGGTGGTTGTCTGTTCCATTTTCAAGAACCATCTTCCATTCCAACTCAAGCATTGAGTGCTCTGCCCAAACCAGACCYGACCTTACAAAGCAGAGCTCAGCAAATGTGTCTAAGCCTTCCAGACAGGCAGCTGCTTTCATCCAGRCTGGCTATCCCAAAGGAGTGCGACCCTCTTCCAGTGTGACCACAAAGTGCTTATTTCAGCCATAGGTGCTGCTAAATCTGCACCATCACTAGRCTGGGAGCCATAAACTCACCTATGTGGCATACACAGTAGATAGGACCTGAAAAAATTACTGAAGCAGTGAAAAACTTTCCCAAGTGATTGATTATCCATCATCCAAAAAAATGAACCAACAAACAATGCCACCAAAAAAAAAAGCCCTAAAGGGCCTACATCAGGAAGCAGAACACCCTGGCTGGCAATTTTATTAAGATGCCAGAGGACAGGAAGTGTCACCTACAGAGGAAAACAAGGTGAAAATTTACTTTTCCTATCTTTCTTGAAATGCAAAGGAAAATTAGGACGGTCAGCCATTAAAYGCTGCAGATAAAGGACTGAAAGCAGCTCTGTTCACCAATTATTAACTGCAGTTAATGAAGCTTTATTTTAATTTGCTTTCTTAATAAAAAACCCACTTGGCTGTGCCAAGTGTTTGCCTATCCCAGTCARAAGGCCTGTGAATGACCACTGCATCTGCCTATTGATGGCACTTGTCGGCTGCACACTCCAAATAACTGCTGAAGGAAAGAAGCAGCAGGCACCGCAGTGCTGCTCGAGAGGCTCGAGAGGCCTTGTTTGGTCCAGGTTTATGCCTCTGATTTTTGGACTAAATACTCTCCTAAATGCTAAGTGTACATCCACGAGCACCCATGGAAACCTCATCCCCCAACAGTCAATCAAGCCAAGACACGCCCTTTAAAAAGCAAAGGTCTAACACTGACAGCTCCTCCACAGAAGCTTTCTACACACTGACACTACTTACAAACCAACATACCTCTTTTGTATCTTTCCTCTGCTTCCTCAGCCTGCTTCAGAGCGGTCTCTTCCGCTACAGTAATGTAGGCATTCAGAAACTTGGTGCTTCTGATGAGGGCCAGACACCGCTGGCAAAGCTCCGTGGGAGTGACTCGTCCTTCCTTCAACGCCGCCGACACCTAAGAGCGCAACCCCCTTTTTAGGGCAGCCRGGTGACAGAGGCCGCACCGGGGCGGAACGGGGAGAAAGCGCGATCCCCGCTGAGGGAAGAGCCCACGGGAAGCGCTCTCCCGGGCCGCTCCGGGGAGAGGGGACACGAGAAGACCCCAGTCACCTTGCGAGCCCGTTCCATTCCTGGGCACCCCCATCCCGCTCCTCGGCATCCTCGGCAGGCGGGGAGGCCCCACTCACCTGTCGGAGAGAGGCGCGCAGCATGACTCCCCCTTCCCGCCGCCTCCTCACGCCCGCAGACCGACCCCGAGCCTGCTCCCGGCGCGGCACCTGGACGCCGCCATCTTGCCGCAACACCCGGCGGCGCCATTGGCAGCGCCGCCAAGAAGGCGGGCGCCCATTGGCTGCGGGGCCGAGCGCTGAGGGCAGCGGCAGCGACCCGGCAAGGGCCCCGGCCCGATCCCCAGCGTTATCCCGATCCCGGGTCTCATCCCGATCCCGGGTCTCATCCCGATCCCGGGTCTCATCCCGATAGCCATCCCGGGGCCCGGCCCGCTTGCCCCGGCCATGCTGTCGTGGGGCACCGCGGGCAGGCGGGCGCTGCGCTGGGCGAGCGGGCGGGCRCCGGCCCGCGGGCTCCGCGCCTCTCCGCGGGCKCGKWCCGCCATGCCCAGCTGGGTCATAGACCGCTACGGCAGCAACGAGGTGCTGCGCTTCACCAGGGACATGACGTTCCCCATCATACACTTCCCGAACGAGGTCATCATTAGGGTTCACGCTGCGAGCCTGAACCCCATCGACCTCAGCATGAGAAGTAAGTGCCGAGGCCGAGCTGCCGCGGCCGGGCTGCCGGGGTGGCAGGGGCTGTGCTGGGGCTGCGGCTCCGGTGGCTCCCGGTGCCCCAAGTGATGCCAAGGCTCCGTCCTGCCCCGGCTCCGTCCTGCCCCGGCTCCGTCCTGCCCCGGCTCCGTCCTGCCCCGGCTCCGTCCTGCCCCGGCTCCGTCCTGCCCCAGCAGACATTTGTCTCGCCAGTGTCCGGGCTGTCTCAGCACACGTGTGTCCCCGAGCTCTGTGGAAAACCGCCGCCTCCTGGAAGCATAACTGTTTTCCAGTTCTCGGGGAAGAACGATACAAAAAGGTTTTTTTCAAGCTCTTAGGGAAGAACGATGCAAAAAAACTCCTTACAAGAGTGTGTGTGTGTTGCGAGGATGAACTTTTAATGGAGTGACTGTGGTGCTGCTCTCTGACCGAGAGACTTGCCTGTCCAAGGAGCAGCATTCCCCCGAGTGATGCTGGATTTTCCCTTCTTTTTGAGGTGAATGAGGCCGGAGGTCCAAGTTACTGCCGAGTAGGCATCTGCGACCTAATGCAAACCCTGTTGTTCATTGCCATGCCCATCCTGATCTGGCATCTGGGCACCTGCTGTCATCCCGCCCACGAAATCTGTATCTTTCTCTGCCCAACTCTGTATCTGATAGATTTAATCAGCTATTTCTACTCAGTTTCTCGGTTTGAAACATGGGAAGGAAATTGTGGTAGTAGAATACCTTATATTTCATGTGTAGAAGTGCTTGCGTATCAAATCAGATTCAATGGAATGAGCAAATATATCTGCAGGAAGCCCGCTGACAGAGCTGTAATCTGTGTTTTGGGTCTCTAATAAATGAACTTTTAAAAATCTTTGTGTATAGYTCGGGGCTTGGCAATGGGACATTTGCTATTGAAGGATTCCTTTTAAGACACTTTCTAGCATGATAGGGCTCCTAGGCAGACTTGCCCAAACAGTTGAATGGGCGCATATACCCAAATTCAGGCTGAGCACAGTTATTAGATGGGTAACTCTGAGACTTCACAGCATTTGTCTGTTGCTTACTCAGTAGAAGTAGATTCTCATCTTAGGAGAGAACCTCTCATCTCAGGTTACTCAGGAGATACGCCTTAATATTTTTTACAGTACTTTATATGACAAGACAAATGGAAAGCTTGGAGTTATTTTAGATCTGTAGCTACATGATGCTGTTGGAAAATGGAGCATTTGCAGCATTTCCAGTGGACTTGGAAGTTCTGAAAGTGTTACCACATACTAAATACTCTATGGAGAGTCATTTCTTTATAAGTAAATTAGCTAGACCGAGTTTTGCTCTTTATTTGCAAAATCTGTAAAAATATAAAATATTGGAGKTTTTTTGCATGCTTCAGTTATAACATAAATGAGTTATATAATGTATASWCAATACTTTCTAATSGGAGCTGTGCAATTAATGAATGAASACTYAGTGTGGTATGTTGTGGTTGATCCCATGTTTTGCAGGTGGTTATGGTGCAACYGCGTTAAATATGAAGCGGGATCCCCTGAAACTCAAAACTGACGAGACTGAATTTCCACTAACACTTGGTCGAGATGTCTCTGGTGTTATTATGGAATGTGGACTGGCTGTGTCTTATTTCAAACCTGGAGATGAGGTGATATCCCCAATCTCTTATTTTATTTTTTCCCCAAATGTATATTTAAAATATGCTATGAGATGTTCAGCATTCATTTTCTTTGTAATTATTTTTTTAATGCTGTTGCACTCTTAATAGGGCCCATCTGATGGCAAGTTCYTAAAATACTTTTTTCCCTTCATTTTTTTCTTTGAACAACACAGTATTTCAGAGACTTGCTTCTGAAAGTTGATTTTCCTTCTGTGTTCTAGTTTTTGGTCCATTTCAGTGGTAGCAAGAGTGGAATTTATTTGTTTATAAGCGCACACTCGAAATGCTGCTTTGTTTTTAATTGAAGATAGAATTTGAACAAGAAGAATTCTTGGGATTATTTTTCTTGAGTTAATTGGAGTAGGAACTTTGGCTTAACCCAAGAAGCACTKCATGGGTGCCCACACAAATGCTGATACTGTTTGCTTTCACCTTCACCGGTTGCTTTCACATTTCACCCATTTTAGTACTGCAAATCCTGGTTCTGTGCCATCCTCACCCCGCTAATCTGAGTTTTCTTGACATGGGAGTAGTTTAGAAGGTTTTATAAATTATATCTTATACACAGTACAATGATACAATTTATTTACATAGCCTTCCAGTTCATCATTTAGTCAGTTTTGTGATATTTTTGGTATAAAGTAAGCTATAACTGGTTACTGATAAATAGTGAAGACATTCTGTCAATTAGAAATAAGACTTCTTTAACGAAGGGAGCCTCTGTCTACATGCAATTGTGTGCAAAGTTACAAAAATTGATAGTTGTCTTCTGTTTGGTTTTAGGTGTGGGCAGCAATTCCTCCATGGAAACAGGGCACTCTGTCAGAGTTCGTGGTAGCTAGTGGAAATGAGGTAAACTTCCAAAACTGGGTAACAGACAAAACCCCAGAGCTATAAAGACTGACATTTTTTTTCTTCAGTCTCTAAGTAACTTGATTTCTTAGTGCTTGGGTTGATTTGTACGCCAGCTACTTGGGAAGATGGCTGAAAATGTGCAATACACAATCTGTGATTCAGTAAAGCTTGCTTAAATATTTCAGTGTCACATAGGAGCTGCTGTGTGATTTAGATATGGTTTTATTTCAGGTGTCTTTTAAGCCGAAGTGTCTCAGCCACACAGAAGCAGCTGCCTTACCATATGTTGGTCTCACTGYGTGGTCTGCAGTTAACCAAGTGGGAGGACTGAACCAAAGTAATTGTAGAGGGAAAAGGTAAGTGAATAGTTCTGCTGCTAAAACTAAAGATTTTCATTTTTATGTTGATAAGCTGCTTCTAAGACACGTCCAGCAGTGATAAAGACTGCTATACCGTGACATTCTTAAAGATCACCTGCCTGAGRATGCTGGGTTCGGTCTTCACAGCTGCTGAGAGAAGTGGGGGGCTCAGATGAGGTCCCTATATAGAGGTAAAAAATGCCCAGAGATGTTGTGGGTGCCTCACCCCTGGAAGTGTTCAAGGCCAGGTTGGATGGACCTCTGAACAACCTGRTCTAGTGAAAGGTGTTCCTGTCCACAGCAGGGTGTTTGGAAGTAGATCATCTTTGAGGTCCTGTCCAACCCAGGCCATTCYATGATTTTATGATAATCCAATGTATGTCTAATGTATGGGCTATATAGAGAATCTAAGGATGTTATTTCCAGGGATTTATAGGGACTTTGCCTTTYTGCCTTTTAAGACAGCTAGTCAAATGTAATACCTCTGAGTTATACTGGCAACTCACSGACAACTTGAAAAGCCCTTTCAAGGTCAGAGGTGTGGTTCACTCACTTCCTACATGCAGGGGTCAGGTGGAACAGACTGATTTTCCAGCTTTTTTAGGGAAAAATGAGCAGGTGACTGACTCTTACTTGACCTGCAGACCACAACTTTGATGAGGTCAGGAATGCAGACAAGAAGAGAACATGCAAGACAAGCAGCCAGTGAAATAGAAAAATTGACTTTGTTTATYAGTCTCTTGATCTGACAGTGGCAGATGAGGAAAAATGTATTGAAAGATTGGAGCAAATACCATTTTTCTCCTGATAATTGAAATTTTCAGTTATTTTGACCTTTGGATGCTTGAGTAAACAGCAAGATCTTCAGAATGGAAATAAGAGGAGAAGTGAAAGATGGGAGTTGAAAAATAGTAGTTAAAATTACTATGCTGCTTCAAAGATTTAGGTCATAAAGTAATTATTGGCAGTAGGAGTCTGGATGCCTGACCTCTTCTTATCTTAGCCTGATACTTTGTAGTGCAACACATTGCAAAACACACTAGATCTATGGAAATTCTTCACCTGCATCTTTAGAAGACAGTCAAGTGAGTGGTCATTCRTGTGTCCCCATGAACTTCATAATGAAAATATTGAGTAATTGTTTTTTCTAAAGATAAACAATGTTTTGAGAAAACGAAATTGCAAAATTCAAAGGAGTTTCAAAGAGACATCATTGAAATCAACTTCCTGCTAGTAATAAAATTCTAGCTAAGATTACCTTTTTATTTTTCAGTATTTAGAGTTTTTATTATCTTAACTTTCACATGTAAATGGAATTTACCTAAAGATACATTGATAGGCTAGCCTTGTTTAAAGTGTCTTTCCAATCTTCAGGTAAGTGTTTGGATTGTTAACAGTAAAATTCAAACTGCATTTGTAATGTGTCTTTACATTTAATATTTACTTTTGTGTTTCAAATAAATATTTTATTACTCTTGTCAGCAAAACCCCCATTTTAATGTACTTAAAAARTATTATATTTCCTGTCTATAAATTGTGAACTGTAAAACCAGCAGTGAAYGACTTACGTGATGGTGCTTTTTTTCCCCTGAAAAATTACTTGTAGGAAAGTATTTAAAATGCATTGAAGGGGCTGTGCAAAATTATATTCCATGAACTCTCAAGATAATAATTAAAAATTACAAGAATTTAAACAGTGTTTCTTAATTTGTTTAGATCATGTATTTGGTATACCTAAATATGTAATTTTACGTTGGTCTTTTTGGCTCCTGTAGTTGTWTGTAAATAGCTGTATAGAAGGGTGTATATGCACACAAAAGCATATCCAGTTGTGACAGAGCAGCTGTATTCCTTGATGAAAGCTTCTTCACTGCTGCTTTTTTGCAGTGTTAAGACATCTTAAAAGCAGCGAGATTTTTGTATTGGTGTGTATTGTTCTCTTTGCCTCTTACAAGGCATTAGCGTGGGCTAACCAGAAATACTTGCTAATAGTCCAGTGTCTGGCTGTACATTGATCTGACAGATTATCTGCTCCATCTGCAAATACTTTCATAGGTTATGTTTTTACAAGTTACCTGAAGTGTGTTCTCRTTGTTTGTGAAGTCCCTTGCCTCACTACAGTTCCAGTCATTTTTCATAGCTTTTATTCTATACCACTGTAATTAATGTCAGTAATGTTGTACAAGCTAAAAGTGAATATTTTTACTGTCCTAAATGTGCAATATGACTGTGTTGTCATATGTTGTGTTGAACTTCTCTGTGCATACCTGCAGAGCTTCTCCTATGTGCCACTGACCTGTTTCAGTGGAAAGGGGATATTCTTGTTCAACACTAGCTGTTAAATATCTTGCTTTCTGTATTCACAAAATGCATGATAAAAACAAACCTGACAGTTTGAGAGGTTCTTCAAAGTGCTTACATTGCTATTAAGTAAAAGTCTTTATGTAAATACAGAAGCAATATCTTAGACTTTTATGTATGCTGGGCAGAGATGCTGGATTCTGTTAATGTAAACTACCAAGTATACACTTCTGGTTTATATTGTTACAGTGAAAATTTCAACGGTATAATGCCCCAAGAACATTTTTTTCAATGTCTGTGTTACTTCATMATTTTATCTGTTGAGAAGTACAAATTGAGTCTAGGTTATAAAACTTCCTGATAGGGTAAACGCTTCTTGATCCAGGAATAAATCTCTTGGGAACATTTTGTTGTCATAATCAAATGAAATTTTATATCTCAGTAAAGTTGATGTATTTATTCAATAAATACATTGATTTTATAAAAATAGAAAATTGATGCATTTTTCAATTTTTTATCTTGCATGTAAATCAGTCACTGAAAATCGTTGTTTATACTCTGGAGAAAATATTAGTCTTTGATCTGTACACCCACTCCCCACCTTCTGTGTGTTCTGGTGGGGGCACACACAGCTCAACCAGGTCTTGTCTCTCTGATGCTTGTTTCTGATCACACCATGGTTTTAAGCAGGGCCCAGGARGAAGGGCTAAACTTTCAAATCTCATGGTGTGCTTCTCTGGAGAGATCTGCTGACTATGATCATTTGAACTGCTAGAGCCCTGTGGGGGGTTTCGTGAATATTGTGCCTCTGTCAGAAGGGAGGAAAGTCTGAGGTATGAATGTTCATTTTCTTCCTTTGAAAGAATTGGTTCTCTTGGTTCTCTGTCCAGGTCAGAGGATTTGTTACTCTGTTCCCTTGTGCACATAGTTACTTGTATATTAGTTCACTCCTGAGCTCACCCTTGCAGTGAAAACAGGTYGTTTCTATGATATGTTTTCTCCTGGCTGTGTTTTCCTGAAGCAGTGCAGACAAAACTGATCCTGCTTGGGCATTTGCCACCATTTGTGATCCTTCAGTACATCCTAACAGTTCCAGCACCTTCAAACACTCCCCACTTACTTGTGTGTCTTGCTGTTGTCAGTGCTGTAAAAATGCTGATTTGTTGAGCTGTTGCTGACAGATCTCCTGTGCAAATGTAGTTTGTCTCAGAAATGAAGGGCTTTCTTGAAGTCACAGTATGTGGAGTTTTAATTAGAAGGTGTGGTAGAAAATAGCACATATGATGTAGGAAGAAACTGAATCTGTAAAGTATTTCTACCTGAAAAACCTGGAGGGCTTTTATTGAAGGGGAAAATAAAAAAATGTCCTAGTCAAGCTGCTCCCCAAACTGAAAATGTTACCTAAATCTTTTGAGCAAATTGTACATTTTAAGATGACAGCTTTCACCAAAATGTGTAGTAGAAGAAATGCCCTTTAACTTAGGAGTAAAATTGTAAAGGAGGTTTGAAAATATTTTTTGAAAGGATTTAATTTTGACTCTCCTTTTTAAGGATAAAAATGGGCTTAACCCAGTATCTTGAGTRTAGTATCATGGAGCCTTTTCAAGTGTAGTAAAGTTGAAATATGCATGTTGCTCTAGGCATCTGTCGTTAGAAGCGTGGTTCTGAGGATAAGTACATTTTGGCAGATTTAAAAGCTGCAGGCATTGTGGTTTCATATTCTTAATCTGAATTTTGCAGCTTGGATCAGTGAAATGGGAGGGAACAGAATCTGATCAGTTACAAAAGAAGAAGCATTTTAAAATGGATACTGTGACCAAAGCCAAGTCTCTTAAGCTACTTCAAAGAACTTTTGTAAACTGAGACTCCAGATTGTATAGTACAGTTTTGTACTGTAAAAAGCAATTTCCTTCAGCATCCTTCACTGCGAGATTTTAAACGGCAATGTCACCAGCTTCTGAAGATTCTGAGATTTTTCTGGCAAACAGAAGCTCTGAGAAACATGATGTTCCCCAATCCTGTGTCAGGACTTCATCTTGGATCTTCCTTTTGTCTTAGAATTAGCAAACAGATCCAAAGCCCACACACTGTTTGCAACTTGAGCTGCAAGGTTTTCTTACTAATTCACTTTCTGATGTTTAGTTATTTAATAAAATATTTGGATGATATTTTTAAAGAATGATTAGGCTTCTAGCAGTTAGGCCTTATGCAAGTAAACTTGTATACTTTTTTTTAATTTTGGGTGATCAGTTAAAATGAGCTCTCAATTGCTAATAATTTGGTAATACACTCATTTCATTTTCTTGCTTGCATGTCAGTTTTCACAACCTGGCATTTACAGGGTCATGTTGAGAGGTACTGGAAAGAACTAGAAAACTTCTACTGCTTTTTTTTCTAAAGAAAAAGACACCTATCTTAATTTAAAAGAACTTAAACTTGTTAATGGTGAGGGTACTTCATTATACTTTTATCTTTTAGATAAATATAATGCAATATGGGAAAATTATGTTCCATATATTCTGTAGTTCACAGGCTCCTTAAATAACATGATACCAAACTATGTTTTTCCTTAGATAAGACTTATTTGTGTAAAATGTTGGTGAATCAGATCTGTTTTTCTTTATGAGATATGACAGTGGAATCTGGGAGCAGAAATTAATCTAAATAGATTTTGTCCCAAACGAAACAATTATATTTGGAAAAGTGAGGACAGGTACAGGGGTTTGGGTGATAAATGTTACWACCTGACAGCTCCACTGCCTGCATTTAGTGGAAAGCACCTATGAGGAAGTCTCTTTGGCTGTGCTGARGTAATGCTTTTAGCACAGGACACTTGATCAGCAATCATAAGTCACACTTCTGGCTGTCTGAACAGTTAATCACTCTTGAATAACATTGAATGATGAAATCAATCTTCTGCTAAAAATAATTCAGTTTCAGATGTATAAAAAAATTAGAATACATAATTAGAGTTTATTTAAAGAACTATTAAATATATTTTAATTTTCTCTTGCAGAGTATTAATATTAGGAGCTTCAGGAGGAGTTGGTACATTTGCTGTGCAGGTAATATAAACCAGCATGTCCAGGATGAATCTTCAAGCACTTTAGTRTGAAAAAAAACCCAGAAGGAAATTGAGAGAAGGAATAGAGAAATAGCAAGCTACTGATCAACCTGTCTGATCGAGCTGATTGATATATCTAAAAGTAAAGTATTTTCAGATTTATTGCTTTCCATTTGTTATGTTATATTATTTTCAAGTAGGAAGCAGGGACTTTTAAAGAAAGGAGTTGTGCGTAAGAACACTTTTCACAATTTGAGTGTAAGAAATCTTTGACTGGTGTAATTTGTAATACRTAGCCTGTTTTGATTATCTCAACTCTATGCTCTAAATACAAACACAACTTGGTGTATGAGTAGAAAAACTGTTGGAGAATGTACCYACCACAACTGCTGTAGTTGGTCAAATGATGTGAGAGGCCTCTAGGCTTTTRTGTGCAGTGGATGTAAAGCACAGAGGCTTAATTTACTTTCCCTCACTGTCTTTGCCCTGCTGCCCTTTTGTCTGTCTTTGTTCCAGTAGCTCTAAACATTGAAAGTCAACATGCTCTTTTGTTGATCCATTAGTTGTGGAACATCCTCTTTCATGCTCTCAGTTAGTTTGGGGGCTTTGATTCTAATCAGTGTTCTATGCTGATACATCTTTCTCTCAAGAATATTTAAAAATACAGGAGTTGGGTGATAGCATCAGTATTTTCCATATTACTAGGCCATGAACACCGTGGTTTTAAAGATGTTTACAGCAGATTTTTTTGTTGTTTGTTATTTGCCTGATCAATGATAAAGCAGGTGACTTCCAGTATGAAAGGCTGACCAGCCACTGACTAGTCACAGTTTGTAACCGATTAATCCTGGTAAACTGCATTAATTACCAAAATAAAGGTAAAAAGTATTACTGTGAATGAAAAAAGAGATGCCAAAAGAGGTAAATAACTGGCAAAAATCCTTTGCTTTGTTGTAGTTTTTGGAGTAGAAGATAACCTGATATTGTGGTAAATCAGAGATGCCTGACTTCTTTTTCTTGTTACTAGTACTTAACCTATTTGCAGTAACATGAAATATCCAAAGGGCATATTTAAAAATATTTAACGGTRTATCTGGTGACAGTTTGGTAGATCAGCAACTTGGACAGTACCTCTTGGTGTGTGTTTAGTTGACAGATTCAGATGGCAAACTGAGAGCCTTATTTGTCATGAGACCTGGTATCTTTGAATGGTATTAAAAACCTTCAATACTCCTTCCTTCACACCAACTCCTCCTTCCCCCCAACCACCTTAAATATTGATTAATTCTAGCCATTATTTTGTCTGGGATTTGGGACAAATTATCCTGTACTGGAACAGTCTCCCCAYTTCCTATTAAAYGTGCTCATTTGTTATATAAATATAATGAGACTTTGGCTTTTTCAGTTGTTCTTAATATTTCACTAAATTTTAATCTTTGGACTTCTTTTTTTTCTACTTGTTTTYAGCTAATGAAGGCCTGGGATGCTCACGTGACAGCTGTTTGCTCTCATGATGCCAGCACACTGGTGAAAAGGCTTGGRGCAGATGATGTGATTGATTATAAATCTGGAAATCTGGAAGAGCAGCTTAAAACATTACCCTTGTGAGTGTTTGTGTTGCTTAGTGCTGAGATGAAGGAGTTGGCAGTCAGACCTTCTGCCTTTTGATTGTTAGACTCTATCAGAACTCTCTCATTTTTCCCCTCATTTTTAAAGCATTATTTTGTAAAACAGATTCACCTTTTTGAATGATGCAGTTTGCAAGTGAGTATGCCCAGCACAGATTTCATTGTAAGTCTAAGCCAGTTAATTGGGCTTGTGGAGAAAAGCTCACTTCCATGTGCTTCTCTTCAGCGACTGTGATATGAACAGTTTTGTAGCTTTCATCCAAGTATCTTGGAGAATATACAATGCATGAATAAATTAAAACAAGTCTCTGAAATCCTGAGTGAGGCTGGTAAATACAAAATTTATCTTGTAGAGGGAAGAGCTATATCATGAAGTARTGATTTGCCACTGTGCAACTCAGCTGCGAGTAAATTTCTCTTCTGTAACGTTGGGTACAGCTGCCTCTGATAAACAATCACATTTATCTTGTCACAGCAGCTATGTTTAAACTGTCTTGGGAGTTTTCTCTAGAACGGAAGTATTTTTTGCTTTTGTAATCTATCTCCATCTGTTTAAATGTAGTCTACTGTGACTTGTATCTGAATACAGTATTTACACTGCTCTTTTTAGTTAGATTGAACTAACTTTCTGGGAGGGGAAATAGAAGCTCTTGCTCTGTCTGTGGGAGAATTTTACTGATAACTGTGCTAAGAAGCCATGTGTCCTTTAACTGTAGTGTGATTGTCAGCAGGCCTGAGGGCAGTTGTGAGGGTAGTGACACTGTCTGTATGGCAGGATGAATTTTGCAGTCAGTGCTAAATTTGCCTTTGTGCAGTTCAACACTTTAAATGCTAAACACCCATTCTAGCAAGTGACCCTTTYTAAGAGATAGCAACATCAGTGTCCTGGGATGCAGTTTAATGATGCAACTAGTCTAATCAGTCAGCTCTGCTGAGAGGGATGTTCCTACTTCCCTCCATTTTTCTGTTGTACTGACTCTTTAGAGCCCATAGTCAGCTGTTTTTTCCAGGAGCAGTAGTATTTATGATCTTCTCTTGTTGGCAGCTGTTACATTAACTGAACTTTAAAYGTGAAATCACACCCTTGGAAGACAGGCAGGAAAACTGTAATTCCAGAGAGATAAAAACTTTTCTATTTAATTTTCATAAAGTGTTTCCCCTCTTATTTGTAGTTTATTTAYATTGGAGATATGTGCTTATACATATCTGGAGATTGCTGGAAATTTATAGATGAAAATGAGAATAAGTTGTGCATCTAACAGAACAGGTGCTTAGCTCCCTCTTGCCCTATTCAGCCTTTACAGGCTCACATGCTGGGATAATGAGAAAGAACACTGAAACTGTGGCTTTTTGCCAGAGGCTGCATATACCCATTCMACGGGGAGAAGGTTTTATATCCTTTGCATTGTTAGGTTTGATGTTAAATAGGTAGATGTGAAGAAGAGAGGTGTCAGGAGAGGTAAAATGGCCCCTAAACAAATAAGGAGGTCAAAAAAGGCTTAGAGAAGTGAAGCTGAGAATYGGGTCAAAGAAAAGATGTGAGGAAATAAATGTTAGTAGAATAATTTGTTTATGTAATTTTAGCCACTGGAACTGACTTTCATGTAAGTACAGCATGTACAAGAGCTATTCCTAGTTGAGGGCATGAGTCCACACTGGCTTTCACATGTACATGCCATATTGCTCAGTACTAGACCTCAAGACTGTTCCAGTAGCCTCTGTAAGAGGACTGAAGAGATAGAGCTCTAGAAGGCTTTAAGCAAGTGCAGAATGTAGTAGTGCATCTAAGTTTGCTTTCTGGGGTTTAAGTGTACTTGTTAAATAGCCTGTACTTGCTGCACAGTGAATGGGCAATAACCTGTAAATCTAAATCCCATTGTACACTAAGCTGGGACTTTGCTGAAGTCTTGGGACTTTCTTGCWGTGATCTTGCAGGCAGATAATTTTMTTGTATTGYAGTGACATGTRAAAATGTATAGCTGATTTCTGCTTTYAATTAGCTTAATTACAGTGAAGTTATTTTYCCCATATCATGATTTTAAACCTGCTCTTTKTATGTGTGCAGATTTGATTTTATCCTAGATAATGTTGGTGGATCCACTGAGAAGTGGGCACTAGATTTATTGAAGAAATGGTCAGGAGCAACATACGTTACCTTAGTGACACCTTTCCTGATCAATATGGACAAACTTGGAGTGGCTGATGGCATGTTGCAAACAGGAGTCACTGTCGGTTCCAAAACTCTAAAGGTATTTGACAAAATCCTATGTCCTTTCTTATTTTGTAGTACTTTAATTACTCCTTCTGTGGCTTGGATATCAGTCACAGAGCTCATGTAGGGGCAGCTGTTGCATTGTCCTCATATTGCATTAAGCATACTTGGGAAGGCGCTACTGTTCTTTGTTTCTTTCTTGCACTGAAAAGAAATCTGTTGGGGTTGTGCTGTTGGGTGTATGTAGTAGTTTGGGGAGCTTTGAAGTTTTATTCCTTATTGTTCTTTCAATTGTGGCCCTTTCCATATGGCCTCCCTAGTGAGTCCTGCTGACAGCCAGGGTTTCATAGTAAACAGCAAATCCCTGCCTCACTGAAGTGAGGGCAGTTTTGTTACTTGCTGTAGGCCAGTCAGGCTTTCTCTCAAAACATTGCTCCATGACTGATTCTTTTCATCCTGTTCCAGCATCAGAGACTAATAAGAGTGGTTGAGGGTGGCTAGTAAATCTTTCATCTCTTTCATGTTCGTGTGTCTGGATGGGGATACTGATTTTTCTAGTTTCCATAAGTGGATCTTAAAACATTCTGCCAGTGGCCATATCAGTAAGGCTTTTTAGAACTTTTCTCTTTCTTTCCTACACTTGTGTACTTGCTCTCCAAATGAATGCTTTTCAAGCAGTTGCTATGGTATTCCTGCAAAGTCTTGGGTGAATGATATTTTAAGTCCTGCAGCAGTACTTCCACAAGAAAGCCCAAAAACAAAATGAAAAGACTGGGAACAAAAAATGTAATATTATTTCTCAGTGTGCATTTTTCCCATGATGAAGAGGATTCTATGCCATATATAAAAATCATCTCTCTTTGGCAGATGATGGCTTTATTCCTATAATGACTTACTCAGAAGAGATGCTCTTGACTTGTGCATGTGATATCTTCCCAAAATGCTTTTCATGTGAGCTGCCATCTGTCACTGGACAGTGATGACTTTGGCAGCTATGATGGTGGAAAATGAAATCACTGATACTGAAGTGGAAGGTTCTAAATGTCACATTGCTGGGTTTATTTCACCCTCTTTGTGAGTGCTTATTTCTCTCTTATGTAACAAATAATGCTGTTTATAGCTGCAGGGGCAAGGTAATTGTTTTTCTATACTAGCTGACTCATGCAATTGGACACAAAATTCACCCTGATCCTGTTGTGGTAACACAACATCCTGGTCTGTACATTCAATCTACATGCTTAGGTGCTGTTCTTTTCAGACACTAGCATAAAATTTCCATGTCTTTTCCATATCTTTTCTTTAACTTACTTCTCTGGAGAGTCTGTCATTGMTTTTAGTTCCCCTTTCAGTTTGCTCTTATGATTTTTTAATAGATTTGTGATCTTTCTTGCAGCATCTCCTTAAAGGAGTTCATTATCGGTGGGCATTTTTCATGCCAAGTGGCCCAAGTTTGGATGAAATAGCAGAACTGGTTGATTCTGGAAAGGTATGTCAATAATGGGTGTTCATGCTGAAAGAGATGCTGCTTGGACTCAAAAATGGGAACCAAAAATGGTTATTCACTGCTGGGGAATAAAATGTTATGAGAGTCACAGTGAGGAAAACTAGTTAAAAATCAGCTTGTTCCAGTTTCTAACTTCTGCCTTTTGCTTGGAATTTAGGAGTTCATAAGCCTTAAAACTGTTCTGCCTTCTCCCTCTTGAGTATACATTTTTAAAACTCAAAGCTTACAAAGTTACAAGGAATAATGTCCAGTTATTGGTTATTTTTGCCAGTGGGAATAATTTAATACGAAACTCTGTATGAAAATTATGTTTTAAGCGGTGTCTTTTGGTTTATTTGGTCAGAATAGACATGGCTATGTATCTGCATATGCAACATTGCTTTGCCTGGATGGTTGGGCATCCTGCCCTTAGTGTGCACAGAATGAGAATATTCTGATTATTGCAGGTAATACATGATCTCCATTGGCAGAGTAGTGACAAGAGTCTTGGTTTTCATTATTTCAGTGCTGCAGAGTATGATGTTTGTGCTAATTCAGCACAGTGACTTGGAATATTGGGAACATTCATAAGCTTCTGGGGAATCTTAGTGGACTTGGGGGAAAAGCAAAGAAGGTTACAGTCTGCTTTTGTGATCTTTCCAGGTTTATGAGCTTGTTACAAAATACATTGTGGGAGTGAGCAGTTGATTTCCTGTGTTTTGGGTTGTGTGGTGATATAGGTCCCAACAGTGTCCTCTTTGGGAATTTTGGCAACATGAAATTTTCCAAGAGTAGAGAACGTGGACAACTGCTGTTAATCATTCTATATGGTACCTTAGCAGAAGAGTAAGCAGAGTCTGCCATGACTGCTGGTAATTCCAGTATGTGAACTGCCATCTTGTGCTCAAAATATGTCTGTATTAGTAAAATTWAGATCTCTCTAATTTGAATGTTGAGCCCTGTTTTTTTTTTTTTGGTATGCAGTATGTTCCAGAGTTTGGAAAATAGTAAATAAACTGCTGTTGTATTTAAAATGTGATTGCTTCTATTTTGCCACCTCAGTGCTGCTGATAAGAATAAAAAGTTCTCTGCTTYGCATTATGTCCAGTGCTATAGGCATAATCCTATGGTCAAGAAAGAAGTTGTAGAAGGTGGTCCTCAATCCTGTGATTGCATTCAGTCACACTACTAAATTATAAGCAAAAGAAATCTAATCTAAGCAAAAGAAATGCCCTTGTCTTGTTCTTACCATTTGTCCTGTTCTCAGCCAGTCACAATTTGTTTTGTGTTCTGCTCCTACCTTGTATGCAAAACAAATGCAGAATATGCTCCTGAAAGCCTCTTGGGAAACACCTGTTTATGCAATAGAGAGAGGGCTTAATCGTTGTTCTTTGCTTAATAACCTGGACAGGTGAATTGCAATGACACTTAAAATGTACGTCATACATGCATGAATGTCCTGATGTACTTCTGGCTGTAAGATAATCATGAGGACAAAGATATTTCCTTGCTCTTTTATTCTCTGTGCAAAAACAGGTCCTAATGTCAGCCTGTTTGTCTGCAGAGTCATTATTCTAGCAGCATTTTCCTCTATTTTGTGAAATGTTGTAAACATCTAAGCTGTCATCAGGATTTTATAAGACACAGTTGTGTTCCATTTAGACAGATATTAATAAGACTATGGCCTTTAATTGTCTAGACACAGGGGTTCTCCTAAATGGACAGACCATCCATTCAGAAGAGTAGGTGTTTGGAATAAAGGCAGGAGAGAATTACTGGAGAAATTGTACCACAATTTTCTGTAAGTAAGTAAAAAGAAATGTTTATGTTTGAATGAGAAAGAATAAAGAACAAGTTAAAAAAGCACAAAGCAATGAAGTGTGTTAAGAACTCTTGGGGAAGCCAGCAAATTGAGCTCATGTAGTTGAACTTGTTAGCATTAAGTGAATTCTTTTGAGTAATGCAGWTTTGGGGTATTTTTGAAATTTCAGTCTTTGAAAGAAAAGAATTTTGAGATTTGTATGAAGTGTGAATAAGAGAGCAGTTGGAAAGCTTCTGAAAATGAGAGGCTTTTTTTCAAGAATAAATGATGAGGGGGATTAAATGAAGGAAATTAAAAAGAGATGATGGTTACAGTTATTGAAGCATTAAAAAGCATACCTCTGAAAAATKTACAGATCATTTTGATTTGACAGTGTTTCTCCTTATAGTCCTTCTGCATCAAGAGAGATTTTTAGTTCTGATGAGTTCATCATGTTCCTTTGTGAAAGCAAAAGGATTCTCAAGCCTTCAGTGGATGAAGAATAAGCAATTTTCTTGAAAGTTACTTGGTTTTCACCTGGATGATCTTTGAAGCAAGGAAGAGAGATTTGCAAAATGTCAGCTTTGAGGAGKAGTTCTTTTAACAGCCTTTCTTTAKTGGAGAGTAGAAGGAGAGGATTTGATGAGTTGGGATTACACAAGGAAAGAAAATTCTTTTCCTTGTGTAATTCACCTGCACATCAGTCAGTTCTGGGAACTGTAAAACCAYTTTCCGTTTACAAACTGTTTTCTCTGCCTTGCAGCTGGACACTTTGCAAAGAGACTATTGCAGGACTAGGGGATGGGAGGCTGCTGCAACAGTTGTGGGCAAGGGGAAAATTCAGTATTTCCTTGACAAATTTTAGAGATACTGGCTACATTCTAAACTGCTGGAGAATCCCCGTTATGGTTTGAATTGCAGCAGTTAGTTACAAGCAGCAAGGACTGTCTCAGTAGGCTCCACCAAGTAAGTTGACAAAAGTCCATGTCAGAAGCTGTTGTGTCTGTTTCCATGGTAGAATATTCCTGGTGAATTAGAATTCTCATCTAAAGGCAACTGAAATCAACAAAACCTTTAATTCAGTACACAGATCTGCTGGCACACTGCTGAAGCATCATCACCGAAAGTCTTGTTAGGAATTAATTTGGTGTATCTCTGGTCAGTGTTGTGGATTTCACAGTGACATTTTCTCTTTTTGCTGCTTGCCCAACATTTCTTCCCAAAGGACATGTCATTTAGTCCTTGGTGAAAATAGGCCGGATTCATATAAGTATTTAAGTTGGTAGAAAGCCTCTAACTCATAACTGGKCACTAATGAAGCCTGGTGTAGGAAGGCAGGCTCAGAAGACTCCTTAGTGTTGTAAGGGGGTGCACTGAGTGTGTTGTGTGTTCCTGTAGGACCATGATAGGATGTGGGTTAATGTGCAACCCAACAGAAATGGGATATTCATTTTAATTCAGTGCTATTTAAATGCCGAATAAGTGTGTGTGCAGTGTTTCTTGTGACTTAATACTCTCTCCTTCAGAGCATTGTTGCATCAGATGGGCTGATGGATGAAAGTTGTTTTTGCAGAAGGAAGGCTAAAGGGCAGAGTCTCCAATCATGAAATTAATAGATCATTCTCTCTGATGTTTGCTTTTTAGATAGATGTTCCAGCACAGCACCCATAAAAAGAACAAGTGTATACCTATGTTAATGTAATTTGTGAATAGTGTTGATTATACATTTTGCTGAAGACACTAGATGCTTTGGACTTAGCACCTGCTGTTATGGTTTGGAGGGCAGGATGCTCACTGTTCTTTAGCCCTGCTGCTGTCTTGTGCAACACTGAACAAATCACATAACCTTTTGGTACCATAATTTCTTTGTCTACCCATGAGGGCTAATGCCCTTTATCCACCTTTGGTGCTTTGCTCTGAGATACCTTGTTAAAATGTGGAATTTAATTGTTTCCTATTGCTGGTCTTTGCTATTCAGGAAGTAAATAACACAAATGGATATGGTAATCCATTTTGACATGACATGGGTTTTGAGAGTTGTTTGGATGGCCATGATTTAAGATGGCTTAACCTACTGCTAGTGTAGGTCATCACAGCTTCTGGACTCTGTATCCTAACCTGTGTGTATTGGTTTGATTTCAGTTCATCTTGTTATAGTGCTGCAAGTAACTTTTTCCCTGGCCCTTATTGCACGATTATTGCATTTCTCTCATCTCTATTAATATAAAAGAGTGAATGTAAAACTGAGTCCTTGAATGTTCTCCAAACATGGCATCTATACATGTGGCCTTCTCTGGAGTAATTCCAGACTTTGTGACTGTGCTAAAGTATCCTGACAGGTCTGAAAACTCACCCTTGGATGGTGCCTGCTCTAGTCTTTCTTAAAAAAGGCACTAGGGTGCCTAAGTATAGGGGTTTCTACACCTAAATGTCTAAATTAACTTGAGATTAGTCCTTCTCCCCCCTCTCTTTAGTCACTCACACTTGTTCTGATGACCATCTTTCTACATGTTAAATTGCAAAGCTTGCACCTTTTTTTTTTTTTGCTTTTAACATTTTGTTTTCTTGTTGCAGTGCATTTGCTTGCCAGGTTGGTTGGCTGGAGTAGAGATGTTGATCAAGGAGGCATTGCCAAAAGCTCTGTTCAGCCCTTTCTCTTCCAAAAAGAACCTCTATCTCTACCTCTTGTCATGGCCACCAAAAAAACACCAGCACTGTGATTTTTATTAAAACATACCTGCTCCTGTTTGTGCAGGACMTGGTAGCTTGCTTGTGCTCTTTATGAAGGTGCTATGTGGTTACATCATAAAGCATCTGTGAAGGGCACTAATGGAAATTTTGCATACTGTGGGACATAGCGTTTGAATATGTAAATTCACATACGCCACAATGAGGTCTGGAAAAATTTCATCATCATCTACTTGGGCATTTAATCAGATGTGTTCCCTCAGCCTGATGTAAYTGGATATTGTTGGAAAGTCAGTCCYKGTGTTCTGAGCTGTRCCCCTTAGTGTAGGAAGGAATTGTGCCTAGTGCAGGGGTAAAGTGTAGGGTCAAAAAGGATGCTCTTGTCTGTTGTGAGTTTAATTTGCTGAGACTGGGAAGATGTGGATCATGCAGGGCTAATCTTCTAATCTCTACATATGATATGTTCTCATATATAAATGTGTAYTTATATATAACTGTACTAAAGTTGGTTCTGTCTTAAGAATTATGGTAACATTGTCCCAGATTACTTTAGCAGCATAAATATCAGGACAATTACCAAGAATGTGCCTGACAGGGGATTCCAGAGGAGATGAATTGATCTTTACTTTAGTTAACAGTTTTTCAGCATGATACAGTACATAACTAAAACAAGGATCTTCCTTATTTCTACTGATTTAAACTTGGGCTAGGCTAACACACATTGCAGTTCTGGGTTTGTTGCAGTTTCTTACTTTTATTGTGTGCTGTAGAAGCTTTTATTGTGTGCTGTAGAAGCTGTTCTGTCAGAGCTAATTAACAAAGAAATTTTGGAAACCTTTTTTACACTGTGATAGCCTGCTTAACTGGGATTTGTCTACTAGCATTTTAATAATTGTACATGATACTCCTGTGGGCTGCTGTTAGAGATTTGATACGAAAGAATGTACTTTGGCTTGATAACCAAACAAATAAGACCKGATAATACAGTTGTTGGTGAGATGGCTGTGGCATGGCATTAGACCCTGGGACACTTGCCTTCCATTSCCGTGTCTTAACCACTGCAGCACTGTTTTTCTTATGGGTGTATTGTTGGATCAATTTTACTTCTGTTAGGTATTTGGGACAGAAATATCCTGTACCTGATGTCCTTTAACGTGGTCATGGATAAAAGTGCATCTGCTCTGAAATACAAGTTAATAAAAACACAGAAAGGAATAAGTTCCTTACATATCATTCAAGGATGGGGTCCTGAGCAACCTGGTCTAGTGGAARGTGTCCCTGCCTATGGCAGGGGGAGTTGGACTGAATGGTCYTTAAAGGTCCTTTCCAACCCAAACCATCCTATGATTCTGTGCTAGTACTATGCAGTTGCAAAGCTACCTGTACAACACATGACTAGAGCCAGCTGTTCCAGAAGGTAAGAATTTCAAWCTTTGTCTTCAATGAGGGCTGACACTAGAATTTGCTGTTGGCAAGCAATATGAGGTTCAGCATATGTTGTTGCATGCCATTTTGAGGAGAAGAAAGGATGAAGAAAGGGATGAGATTAAGATCCAAAGAGCAATGGAACATGAGTACAGCAGAGAAGACGCTCAGCTAAAGCAGGAATCCCCCAAAACAGCAGGGKTTTTTTTTCCATGGGATGACAATAAAGTAACAAATGGATATCCAATTGTTTAGTTCCAGTACAAAGACTGTTCTTTTTAATGGTTTCTCTTCCAAGATTCTTGTTGACATTGATGAGAGACTCACTAAAGGAAAAGGAGACTGTCAAGTTCTTCGTTTGTTCTCATAGACTGGTGCTCATGGTCACGGTARTAATTTCTGGAGGAAGATCGCCTTTGTCTGTTAACTCAGCGAATAAAAACAGCAGGCAGGTCTTTCCCATTACAGCAAACCCTCAGGAGGAGATGGATATCTGGTGGAGCACATCTCAGCTTTTGTTCTGTGCACTTGCAGGTACCTTTCCTGAAGGATGGTGTATGGGAGGCTGMGCAGCCTCACCAGAGCATCAGAAGGGGATGAGCTGTCAGAGGCAGCAGCTGCGAGGGAGGCACWCTCCCAAGCGAGGATCCTTTGCAGACCTGGGGGAGAGCCAGTGCACTGTCACTGTCCTTTGAGTGAGGGCACTTGTCGTTTTGTGCTTTGAACTCGGCTTGCGCTCAGTTCATCCCTCTCCTGAGAATTTCAAGGCTCTTGCTCTCCCTCCAGTGGCAGGAAAAAGCTCCACACTTACTGAAGCGACTTGTTGCTACTATGAGGGTCAAAGCTGTCTCCATTCCTTTCGTGTTTTCTCACTTGTCCCCTGCTGATAAMTTYTGTGTCCTGGCTACCACAGAAAGTKKGACCTTCAAGGGTGGGTCTGAATTTGCAATGAGCAGGAGTGTATTGCTGCTGACCAGTCAACTCCTGCCAGTGCTGTTCACTGCCCRCTGCATTCAGAGCTGGAGTGGCTGGGATACCCCCTCTGTGCTGTGTGTAGGGTAGCCTAAATCTGCATCAGCAATTACTCTTCTTTTTTTTTTTTTTTTTCCCAAACAAATGAGTTCATTTCAAGAGACCTGAGATTCATTTCTATAGTATGTCCTGCATCGGAGAGAATGAAGAGGAAGAAAATACCTTTCAGAGCCAATCTGTTTTCAGATAAACATTTCAATGTGGGTATGTGTAATCCTTTCTCTCACAGACTTTAGTTTAATCCCTTTTCCCTGAACAAATAGGTGTCCTCTGGCAAGGAACTGATGCGTGGCTGTAAATAGGCAGTGTTTTTATTATCCAGTTAATCTCCATTTATTATCACACATTCAACAAACAGCAGACGCTCTCCTACTTGTTTGTCTGTTCACAGGAAGAATTTTATCTTAGTCAGTGGATTATGGTAAAGGCTGAGTGAATCACTGTGCTGCAACACGGTCAGCCCTTTCAGGGTTAGTCAAACAATGGGACTGTCCAGCCAGCCAGMTAAAATGTTTAATGCTCTAGATTGCCAGGATCATCAGTTCAGTATTCATGTCTCTCTATAGCACTGCCTAAAGCCAGCGTTTAAATGAAGCTAGAGGTTACATCAATGTAGCAGATTGGCTTTGAGCATGTGGTGSCTGCGATACCCATGGTGTTTTGAACTGTGAGGCTGAATTCAGGGCTCCTCTGAATCACTGTGTCACCACTTTTCARATGTGATGCTTTGAACTCTATCCAGCAGGCTGAGGATGTAACACACCTCACTCTGCCAGGGTTATAAGTTGCAACCACAGTAAGGGACTGTGGGTAGCAGAACAGTGAAGTGTGTTATTCATGTTTTCTCAGTTGCTGCACAYGTCTGAAGTTAACTTCTGCCTTTCCCTGGAATCCCTTGCACTTCAAATCCCCTTGTGCTGCTCTCCTCCTTTCTTTCCTGAATACGTTTCCCTTCCTTGTAGCCTGTTGCCTTGTCAGGGTCATCTGTATCCATGCTCCAGAAGGCTGGGTTTCTAGATCTTTTTTTTTCCCCTTAATTGAAGCACRGCTTTGCATGCAACTACCACTAACAATAAGCAGTGTACAAGTGCTGCCCTTGTGCTTGGCTCAAGGTTCCTCAACTGTGTTTTCCCAAGCATCTGCTATGAAAGCAAGCGTTGGTCTTCCTCAAAACAGTCTGTACTGATCAGCAGCACGTTCCTCCTGCTAACAGTCACAGCAGCTGCAGCTGCACTCAGATGCTCCGTTTACCCAAAACCATTGTCTAATTCAGTGTTGTGCTGTCCTGAATCCACGTCTCTGACTTTGCTGATGTCCAAGACAACATTTCCATTCTGTGCTGGATGCTGGCCAGACGTTTGTCTCGAACATTGATCATTTATRCTCAACATTTCTTCCTCAGGTGGGGTATCTTTGTGGCTCCTCTGCTGGGTGTTACTACTCACTTTGCTAGAGGTTGGTTTACAGAGATTGTCCAGGCAGAACAAGGGAAATAAATTATTCAGCCTTGTGCCTTGTTGCATGGCAAGTTGGAGGCACTTGSTGACTATACTTATTTGCACAGTTGCTCTCCAAGTGATTTGTSTGTTAATTCTGATGTATTCTTCAGAGGAGGTTCACTCATTCCTGATTTTTTGCAATGTAAAGTTTCACACTATAGCTAAGCTTGCTTTTAAAAAATAGAAAGSAAARTCTAGTGATRMTATTAGGAGATACTGTGGTGCAGAKTAAGAGTACTGATATCTTGGATTACAATTATACAAGCAAAGCCAGTAGTTATTTAAGTGTAGGGAGTAGATGTCAAGGTAAGACACAGTGTATGAATGAAGAGAAAATTAAGAGCTGAGAAAAKGACCTCTCTGAGCATGGACAACTATCAGTTAGCATTTGTTGTGCTGTAGGGAAGGGTGCTGGGTGGTCAGCGCTGCTGCTAGGAGAGTGTGCGCGTATGAAAAAACCTTCCTTGCTAGTGCTGCACTCACCTTCTAAGCAGCACATCTGCAAGCAAACCCCACGTCTTCTGGTAAAAGCAAGGCAACCTTTTGAAAGACAGCACTGTTTCAATACTGGCACACTGTGTCCTTATTGGTGCTGTATTCCTTTTCCATCTAGCAAGGTGCATGTCCTGCCAGCACAGGGAAACTTGCAGTGCTGGAGTACTCAACAAGAGAGGGTGCCTGCTCACAGCTATGAGGAAAATGTCTGAAGATATTTTTTCTGTGACACAATTGAAAAGTATCTTGTAGCACCATAAAAATGTGTTTGAATCTTTGGTACGTCAAATCTTCCACTACTGCAAAAGATATCTGCAGACTCATCTGGTCATGTTTTCCTYTGATAAGAGGATTAGGATCAGTGCAAGAACATGCACTGGGGTGGGTGTTATGGGATCCAAGGTAAAGGACCAGCTTCAGGGGAGGTAGATCTTTGGTAGGAGGTGTGGGAGGTGCATTTGTATAGAGATCTTATTTTGGCATTTGGAATGCTGACTCAGAATTTCAGAGCAGAAAAAACCTTCTTCCCTTGCATCAGCAGTGACAARTACTGTTCAGAAAAGCTGAAATTTCTTCTGCCTCTGTTGGTACACCATGATATCTAAAGAAAATAAATGCTTACAGAGGATTCRGGCTCCTTAGTTAATAATGGGGAGAGTGAATAAGTAGTTTTACTGTTGTTGTTGGAAATGAGTCTAAAACAATCCAGAAGGCCACTCTACAAAATTAATGCCAAAATAGAAGTTGATGCAAGCTGGGTTTAATGATTTATGCCTCCYGGAATACACAGTGGCTGAGTTTTCAAGTGTAGCTAAATGACTCAGCAACAAATATTGGTGGCCTTTTTTTTTGTACTTCATTTGTGGTCTTTAAAGGGTACTGAGCTATGTACTGCTGCAGATAGGCGTCAGATTTATAAGTATCTTTAAAATACTTGACATTGTGTGAATTCTTTGGTTTAACAAGAAAACTAGTATAGCAATATGAGAAAAAGAAATGTTATTTTTGCCAGTATATCATTGTGGACAACAAAAAGTTAAACCAGTGTCAGCTTTTGAAAGGATGTAAAAGTTAGAGCCTTGCATGGTGGTAGAATCCTCAGGTAAGGGCTCTAAACTATGCAAGTATAAGTGTTTCAAAACTTGGGCAAAGAGCAGCAGAAAGTCATCTTCTGCATGCAGAGGTATCCCTGAAAAAGCTTAAAAGTTAGTGGCTACAGTATTTGGCAACTTCCTGTCCTAAATACTTTAAAGAAACCTCCCCCCTTTCTTCATACAATTTTGAAGTGTGAGAGTGATACATTATTTTATTCTTAACATTGTGACACTTTTTCTTTATTCTGTAGATTCAACCAGTTATTGATGAAGTCTTCTCTTTTTCTGAAGTTCCAAAGGCTTTTCTGAAATTGGAAGGAGGACATGCGCGTGGAAAAACAGTGATCAATGTAATTAGTAGACAATAAAGTATCTCTAGTAATTATTCTGCCTGCAGTGAGTATTTGAACATGAACTTGTATGTAGCATTTCTTTTTTAAAAGCTCATATGGGATGCATAACTTATTAGTCTTGTTTTAGAAAAGCCTCTGATTCCTTCATGCGCTGCCTGTTAATAAGCAGACAAGACATACTAATGTCCCTTAGGCATTCCTACCTGAAAACTGTTAAAAAGGTAGTTGTGACTTTTGCAGAATACCCCTCATTCTAGGGATAAGAAGAACAGCCTGCAGCATTTTCCATTTATACRTCTTAGAGCTTTTATTTTCCAGATGTAAGTCCTGAAATGGTGAGCATACTCTTATCTAATTGTCTGTATGAAGCCTGTGCTGTTTTTTTCTTGGCGTTTCCTAGTTGTATTTTCTTTCACTAATGTAGATTATTGCTCCAGCTATTTAATTCTCAGACCTAAATGGTCACATCACTGTCTCAAGACTGCTACTTTGATTTTGTTATGGCAACTCTCATGGCATAGCTGATCTAAATAGAAGCATGGAACAAAATCAGTCTGTAACTAATAATTATTCTAATTCCCCAACTCCTGGCCCAGATTCAGCTGACTGCAGTGTTTATGCAGGAGGGTGGACATGATTTTGTCTGTAGTCAGGAGCCCATTCCTGCCATGCCACATCACTGCTGGTGAAGCACTAGAAGGGGTGTAARTGCCTGGTGGGCTGTTTTTAAACTTGCCATTTAGAGGTGGGTTGYGGAGTGACTCCCCCTGCAATTATGCAGGTGGATTGAAGGAAAGTGGCAGCCTCTAAAGTGAGAGCTGCACATCTACTGCAGTGCAGCTGTGGTGGTGCACAAGCCATGTCAATGCAACACTTCCACCAGGGGACAGAAGTGGCAGCTGTGTGAATGGTGGCCCCCATGCACACATGCACTGAACACATGCTTGTGTAGGAGAATCACCTGTTCCTCAGAGTCCGCAGCTATTCCAAACCATGTATTCACTCCTCAGTGGCTGGCTGTGGCTGAAGAATTGTGGACAGAGATGGGTGCATGATGGAGGCAAAACTAACCATAAAATGTCACCTTTCTACCTTTAAAAATAATTTCAATAAAAAGTTACCTAACTTAAATTGATTTGTAAAATACTATATTATATATAGCAAGAGCACATCAATATGACAAAGTACCACTGTTTGGAACCAGTAACAACATATTTTCTATTAAGGACTAAAAGCAGCACATTTCAGAGCAACAAAACTTCAGTGCATCTTTACAAAAGGAAGAAAATTAGTAAGGCACTTCCTCTCGGGTGGTAACAGTAAAAGCACCAGTATGCTTTGAGGCAATACAATAATAATGAAAATGTTAATTTTAAACAGACTTACTATGCAAGACAAAGGCCTGGATGCTCCTAAGAGCAGCTTGTAATAAMACTGGTCTAAGCCAGAACAAAACACAGCAGCATAGTACAAGAGTTTGTGTTTCACCTTTTTGCCAACATTATTAAGGAAAACTAACATGACCATGTTCAAAGCAGGGCAACMGAAGGACCTTCTGCAGTCATCAGGACATCCCACTTGTCACAAGCTCTTTACTAAACCAGTAACACTTGGAATGGGCACAGCCCTTAAGGCTGGGCACATATCCAGGCTTAGCTGTGCCCCTTCCTAGAGGAGTCAGACACTTCTGTCCAATGGGGAGGCACCAGCCCACCACAAACATTGCTCTCCAAAATCACCAGAAATAGTGGGGCGTTGGGCATTCTCCATGGTAAATGCAACAGGCAGTGGCTGGAAAACTCAGTAACCACAGCGCTTAACATGCTGTTACAGTAATCTTAGTGATACCTTCCCTAAGAATTTTTGGGTTTTCTATGATTTTGGAGTTCTGGAGAACTGTACTTACTGAACAAGGTACAAATGTGACTTGGCAAAGAAGAAAAATACCCACAACTCAAGAAGTTAGGCAACCTAGAAAATGGGCAAATTCTTCACATTCCTATAGATCCTTTTGGCAGCCCTCTCTTTTTCTAACAAAATATTTGCTACTTTACATCCTCTATGCATGAGAAAATCTAGAGTTTTTTCTTAAATTAGGACTTACTATATTAGCATACTAACTATACTTGAAGCCACATGTTAAAGTCTTTGGATATGCTGTATTAGCAGTCTTTAAACTTTCAGTAAACATAAGTTTGTTCCAGTAAACCAAATATATTAATTTCCTGTAGTGAATATTTCTCTATACTACAGCCTATAGGTCCAAGTTGCTATACCCACATATACACTGCACTCCTGTCCTTAATAAAATAAGTTCCACTGACTGACTATTCTGGGTGAACCACTCACTGACATAAGTAGCTCCATGGGATTTCTCTCACAGTCAGTTGTTCCCATTCTAGCCTGAGGCATACTGCCACTCTATCCAACACTGAGTTGTAAGGATTTAAAAAAAAAGGAAGGTTTTGAGATACTCAAGCTTTTATAGCGACAATAATCTTGGATAGAGAGGTGAAACCAATCTGTTGCTTGTTCTTTTTAAAACTGTGAAGAAAAGAAAACTCTCATTGTTCATTCTGTATCCTTCAGAGATGGCAGTGCCAATTCCAGTGTCCAGAATAGTGGCCACTTCAAACATGGCCCCTTCAAACATCATCTTTCCTTCTTTAGGTTTATACAACCAGTGGTTCCCAGCACTGTGTTAGCTTTTCTTCATTGACTGTGTTGACAACGACATGGTCACAATCATACTGTGTGCCTCCTGTAGAGAGAAATTTCAGAGAGAGGAGATTATTTTTGAAATAAGAGACAAATACTCTAGGCTTCAGAAAAACTCTAGTTAAGCTGGTGTACACAGTTTCTCTTCAACCCATGGCTCTGAAAAGACAAATGCATTTTCATCACTGCCTGCTTTTGGAATTAATTTTGAAAAGTTTTTCAATAAACCACGATCAGTCAATCTTATTMTCTCCACCCCTTCAGTAATTCAGTTTCTCAGCTGTTTCAGCCTGGACAGAAAGGAAAAAAACACTGCAGGACAGTCAGATGCAGCTCCTTGAAGACTGTCACTTCCCAGAAGTCATGCTTGAYTATTCAGTTTTCCTGCAGCAGTTGTCAATTGTCACTGGGCTCTAAAAACGAAGATGTTTAGATGATGAAGTAAGTCCTGCTGTTAACAGACAATAYRCACGTGACCATGTCAGGGACAAGGYCTGGCATTCATTTACTTCTTGACATTATAATCCTTTATTTTGACCAGATGAATCACAAGTCACCATGCACAGAGCATCACCCAATGTTCAGCTGTTTGCACTGGCAGCTGAACATATCTGAATGCAAAACAGAAACATTTCTAGACGAGCTTAATCTACTCACATGATGCAATGCCAAACATGTTCTCATATAAGACACCATTAATAATCTGGTTTAAGAAACTGGGAAGCAAAGAAACATTTGACTAGAACTGAAAATCAGAATTGATGTTTTTTTTTYCCTCAGATCTAGTGTATATTGCAGAAATACAGGACACATGCATCTCCTGTAGTACAACACACCTGCGAAGCAGGTAGTTTTCCCACTGGAATCAGCCATCTGAGCCAACCATTTATACAAAGCACCAGGACATTCCCATAGATGCTCTTTTTGTTCTTCACCCCAATTGCCTCACCCTTCCTGACTGAGCAAAAGATAAGCCTGGCAGCTTATGATGAGTGTAACACTCATACTGAGCTATGTAGCTAAGGTTATTTTTTGTAGCTCAGTTATCATTGTGGGTGCAAAAATTTTTTTTAAGTGATATCTGATAGAATGCTTAAATGGGAAAAGATGGGAAATTTTTTCAGCAGATACACTATTCACTTTGATAGCATGGTGCTCTGGAAAAGGCTTTGTGCTATGCCAGTTTAACCACAAGGTGGCATTACAAACTGTACAGTTAAACAACTGCATTCGTTTGCTGAGGAATTCTTGAACACACAATTTGTGGTCCAGAATGGACCGGCAGAGTTGACAGAAACAGGCAATGTTGCTATTAGGCTTTTTCAAATAAAAGCTAAACGCATCCACTGTTTTACATTTCCCATACAGATTTTTACTTCTTTTTAAAGCAAATGCATCTATACTTTCACCACCAGACCTATCTATTGTAAACTTCTTCAATTATAAATGCAGAATGCGTAACTGCTTTTAACTGAAGAAAAGGCAATGCAACAGTGTTTCTGCTTGTTTGGTGAACTCAGAATGGACTTTAGAAAAAGGTATGCAGTCATTGTGATTAAAGATTTTCCCCTGGAGTCTTTTAGGTCAGTTTATGACTATTCATCACTAGATTTTTTATGGCAGTAAAGAGAATTTGTGACTCTTTGTGCCACTGTGGTATTATGGTCAGACATCCAATAACCCTGATCTCACAGTTCTGATAGTCCTACCCACTTGAGGCAGGTGATTGTCCCACTCTGCTCTGTGCTCACCTYGACTGAGCAGCCTCGCCTTGTGACATGTGTGCATTTTGGGGCACCACAATATAAGAAAGATGCAAAGCTATTCGAGACCACCCAATGGAGAGCTAGGAAGATGGTGAAGAGCCTTGAGGGGAAGCTGTAAGAGGAGCAGCTGAGCTCACTTGGTCTGTTCGGCCTGGAAGAGACTGAGGGGAAACCTCAGTGCAGTTACAACTTTCTCATGAGGAGAAGAGGGGCAGACACTGATCTCTGTGGTGAGCAGTGACAGGACCCGAGGGAATGGCACGAAGCTTCATCAGGARGTTTTAGTTTGGATACTAGGAAAAGGATCTTTCCACAGAGGGTGTCTGAACACTGGAACAGGCTCCCCAGGGAAGTGGTCACACCATCAAGCCTGACAGAGTTCAAGAAGATTTTGGACAATGTTGTCAGACGCATTGTTGATGGGTGTGACTGTTGGGATGTCCTGTGCAGGGCCTGGAGTTGGGCTTTGATGATCCTTGTGAGCCCCTTCCAACTCAGGATATTCTATGATTCTAGGAGTTCATTCCTGTTTAGTTCTGACTATTGACTATGCTGTTTTTCTGGTTGGTTTGATTTTTTTGGAGGGATGGTAGTGGTGGTGGTTGTAATTGACATAATTAATGTCACAGCATCAATTAAAAATTAGTTTTAAAACAGCTAAAAATTTAATAGGAATAGAACAGATATAGAAGATGCTTAATCCCCTCACCCAAAAAAAAAGTTACGTAAGAACATCTGATTATGCTTATCATTCCATTTGCTGCTTTTTAGACCCTCTGTGAAGCTCTGAAAATGAAGTTCAGAAACAGCATCCACACAAATCAAATTACTATGACAAAAGTAACTCCAAAATACACATCAAGTGCTGACAGGCCTTAGGCTGCTGTGGCAGAATCTCATGCTTCCCATTACGGCATAGCCATTAATTAACAAAGAACCCCCACCTTTTTGCATCTAATCACATCAATATACAAGCCTGCCTTTGCTTTCCTAATATCCYTTGGCTATTGCATCTACAAATRCTRTGTAAGAAAATTTGCTCTATAGAAATTAAAGTTAATGAGAAGTTAGGTTGTTCTTGCTTCAGCATTTTAAATRATCATATTCGCATTGCCCAAAATTAACTGAGGCTATCTACAGTGAGTGGACACTAAGAATACAAGATAAGCAAGTACTGTGAGTTTCTAAATGCTGTGCTGGAAAAATGAAATGAAGTCCTAGGATCTGTATAATCCAGGAGGTCAAACTAGCTGATCGGGTCTTTTTTTGCTTCCAGGTTGAAGCAACTAAAGCACCATCCTTAATTTATAGGCATGCTTAGTGTGTATCCCACTGCAAATACCATGTAATTAAGCCCCAATGTAATGAGATAACATTTGCTTACCTTTGATATCTAAAACGAGGTTGGGTTTCATCTTGCTATAAATTCTGCCATCGGGACTAATATGCCAATATTGTTTGTCTTCATTCCGCTCAAATGACAGACCGAGTTTAGAGCCAGGAGTTATAAGATTTCCAACAATTGTCAAGCAGCAATCCTCTGCCATCTGTGTCATCAGAAAGGCAACAGCAATTATTCAAAATGGCCTTACTTCTAGTGTCCACTGTTTGTTTTTTTATCAATTAGGAGAGATGTCATCAGGTGAGATCAGAATTTAGGAACTATTTTCCCTCAAGGAATCTATTTTTGCCCCAGACTCAAGACTCCTTATTTTAATTCTGTTCCCATTTCTGCTGTCACTCTCCACTACACCGGAACATTAAAATAACTACACTATCAGATTAAAAGGTACAATTAGCACCTGTCTCTAGCAGTGGCCAGTAACAGATACCGTGGAAGATTACACTGACTGTACTCTTGTATGCAGTATGTTCCCGGTTATCTCCTCCAGTGTACAGCAACTGTCAGCCCAGATACTTTTCTGTGCATCCTGATACCTTTAATGCTTATTTTCTGTCCCATGTGTGAATTTATTAGTCACTACCCACCCGGATCAGTGTAACCCTTTTACATGAACATCATTCTGTGTTGTAAGCCTTCTGTGGCAAGAAGTTCTAAATCTTAACTACTAYCATTAAAAAAGAAAATAAAATATAATTGATATACAACTAGTTTTATTTGATGCTGTCCTCATCCCTTGATTATTTTAAGGGCTATCTTGTRCGTGCTATGTCTGCAGAGACTTCAAGTACATCATCCCTCAAAGTGTACCCTTTGCAGGTTAAAATATCCTCACTATTTTGTCTCTTCCTTGCACAGAGACCCTCAATTTTCTCTGATCATTCTTTTTTTTTTTTTTTTTTTTTTTTTTTTTTTTTTTTTTTTTTTTTGTTTATTCATTTTTTGTTTGGAGGAACCTTTTCAGATAAAGGACATGACTGTACAGTATCAAGTGTATGAATTTTACAGGGTATCACAATATTTGCTTCTTTGTTCTACATGGTTTTCCTATTAATTTTTATTTGCAAATGTCTTCCTGGTTAAAAAAAGAACTGGCAAAAATCAAGCTTACTTGAAAAGATTATCGAAGTTGTATTACTAAGTAACGGTTAATTTTTCTAGATAAACAGTGATTATCAGTAGATCCTCATAAGCTGTGCCTTTTAGCTACTTTTAGCTACTGAGTGCACTTCTGTGTCAGATTAAGCACTCATCTGCCACTGTTGAAATAGCCCTATATTACTTTTACAAGTATTTTTGAAAGTRTTGTTTCTTGAAAAAGTCATGCTTCTGATTATTATAACCTAGAATTCAAGTAAGTGGATTTAGTTCTGAAATTCTCATTTGTATCTGAAGAATTTTCCAGTGGGACTTAGAAGAACTCTGACCTTAGACATCAGGTCCCACTAGGCCTGTACTTYACTCATCTCCAAGAAACTCATGAAGAGTTAGGAGACATACATTCATATCTGTTTCTGAAAAAATGAGCAGAATGACTTTCACATCCTGTTATCCCACATATTTTAAACRGTCCCAAACCTCAGGCACAGCCCAAGGTAGTGTGACTCAGTCCCTGAGATGACCCAAGTTAATGGAAGGTGCAGGTTCTTCCAGTGACCTATGTCTGCCTACGTGCATGTAGCTACCCMCCCAGGAGCTCAGTTTTCTTTGTAATAGGTGGTAAAAAACAAGTTTTGGTTTGTGCAAAATAGCCTTACTGCCATTCACTGGAAAGATGGCACAGGTCTGTAAGAGTTCAGTCACTTAAGATCAATCTTAGCAGCTTGCACTGTGCACTGAGCTATTTGACTGCTATACAGCACAAGCTGTGTATTTTCTGTGTGCAGAAAAATTGCATTATGGGATACAGAAATGGGCAAAACCCAGGAGCATTTATCCAAAGCTACATAATACCACAGTGCCTCAATATGAAAACTTTCAGTGACGTGTTTGAGAGGCACCATAAAAAAAGAAGTCTTTTGTATGTGATACTAAGCTTTTAGCTTACTTTGCATCAATTTGCTGTCTGCATAAATCCCTTTTACAGCTGCATGTGTCCTGTAAGCATGTCCAAACAATGCCTTAGCTTATTAACTGTAAGATTCTTCCCTCCAGCATAGATGACATAGTTATAAATGGCTCCTTTGAAGTTATACAATCCTATAGAAAAAGTTCACATGATTCTTTGCAGTCAAGCTGTTTAACAGTATTAAAGTAACTTAATTTTCTTTTGGCTGGCATCCCTACCTAAGACTTCACACTTAAACATTATATGGACTGTGCATACTTCTGCTCACCTCAATGACAATTTGCACATGATTAATTTTATGGACTGTGAGAAAAGTAGGGCTTCATTTGGAAACTTGTACAGAGGAAAGGAAAAAGATGAATTTCACAAATACAGGGATAACCAGAAAACAAACAAAAACCAAGCAAACCCCCCTGCTCCCCAACTCAAAAGAGTGGGATTTTCTCTTTAAGYTTGCAGAAGATGATATCAACTTGCATTAACTGACCTAACTGACCTACCACAAGGTATGCATAGTTCAAAATATTATCAGGCAGGATCTGTACTTTAAAAGGCCTTCCCTACTTTGATACTTCTGCAATACTTTCTCTCAAAATTTCAATTATAACAAAAAGGTATCRTAGATGAGTTTGTATCACCTGAAAAAGCCAGAGTTGATTAAAGCRAAGCAAAACCCACAACAACCTCCTGCAGAAAGATTACATTATAGTTGAAACAGAATAAGCCTATAAAATAAAAGAAGACAATGCAGTAGGAATTAAATTCATAAAGCCCTATTGTTGGAGAGGAAAAGAGAAAATGTACATTGAACTTGAACCTTACCCGATACCTTATGAATCCATCCTGATAAACCCAGATTTGATCATCTGAGTCTGTATCTTCTACAACCTGTATTCTGAGAAGATTCAGATTATCTAGGTTTCCATCAGCTGACATGAATTTTCCTGTTTCCTTGTTTCGAAGCCTGAAGAACACAYGTTTCTGCAGAAAACAAAAGAACCCTTTAACCACAATCTCAGCAGAGAACACATCCTGCTCTGGGTTAACTTCAGAGCAATTACTGTCAGTGCTGAACCTCTCTCTTTCTTTAGGAAAGCTTAAATTTTTAATTTCAGAATTTATTTCAGAAGCCCATAAACATCTTGGATGAAACAAGCTTTGAGAACTCGCCACTCTGCGTGAAGAATTTTAGGCTTTCCTATGCACTGAATTCAGCATACAGTGGAAAGCTAGAACTTTTAGAGCAGAACTAACTTCTCTCTACCAACTCCTTGAATAGATGCTCTTGGCTAACTCCTTGAATAGATGCTCTTGGCTTTCATTAAGGGTGCACTTGGGAGGCCTCTTATACATGAACACTTCTGTTCAGACAAGCTCTCAGCAGGGCAGTCAAAATACTTTATTCCTAACTCTGCTTAAGGCTATACAAAGACAAAGCTATGGCAGCAAGCAAATGCAGTTGGCTACAGGTACAAGTAATCTGTGGATTAGAAAAAGCTGTTTCCCCAACAAAACATGGYTCAGCAAGAACCTCAGATGTTAAATTTCCCAGGACTGCTGCACCATTGGACAAAATCATATGGTCCTTATTTAGAGAACAAAATAAAAAGGGCATGACAAGAATAAACTTTGCATTAAATTTGCAAATTATTCTGCCAAGTAAAAAGCCGGGAGAGACCTTCCTTAAATCCTCAAATCAACATAAAATCACTACTAATTGAAGTTTTGGGTTTTTTTTTTTTTTACCAATTTTCTTGGTTTCATAAATAATGCAGATAGTACAGACATTATGCCAGCAACCAGTCTGGATGCTAGTTATGAAAAAAAAATTATATATAATAGTTTTAGCCATTATTTATTAATCCTTAATTAATCCTTATGTGCTGTCTTCTGTAATTTGGTTTAAAACATGCTTAATGAAGAGTTTAAGCAGTGTAACTGCAAAGCCATGTAGCATAATCAAATAGCTTTTATTACACGTGAAACTCTAGAGTGATTTCTTTACACAGTGGCCAATACTGAAGTTTGTCACATGCCTGTAACAAGGTGTAACGCTGCTTTCAACTGCATAGTATCTCCCCAACCCCATTGCAAGATATAAATTAGTACTTGATAAGCTCATGTCACAGCCCACTCACCTGCAGTAARGGTCTCAGAGAGCCTATGTGAGAAAAGCTGCTGGCTTTACACCAATCTGGAATTTCATTTGGTGTTAATAACATCTGCCGTCCCCTGTAATTACTATGTTCATAGATTACCCATCTATGAGGAGAAAAAAACAAGACAATGTTTTAAGTGCCAAATTCTGCTTTGGAATCAGTAAGTGAGTTTAATAGAAATCTGTCTCACAATRTAGTAATGTTTGACTTTGGAAAGCCAGTGAGCTTTTTAACAGGCCCCAAAAAGTAATAAAATCACATCCTGATTTGGATCAGMCACATTAAGATGAGTACACAGGAGTTCAAATTTTAGAGTCCTATTATTTAAAAACTACAAGCTGAAAGAAACAAAGCATTTTCTTGGGAAAACTCAACTTTTAAAGACCATCTGTTTTCAGGAAGCAATGTGACTCCTCAAGGAGCATCGATTTATATGCTCCATGTGCTGTATATGCTCCATTGCTGCAGGTGCAGAACCAGCAGTTTTGTCTTTCTGAATTTGGACAGGCCTGATGCACRTGGGAAAGAGCTACTATGGATGCAGACAGGAACAAACAAATACTGGAAACTGCAACAGGCTGAAGTTCTCTCAGGTATTTTGATAGGGGTTTTATTTCATAACACCTCTCTTCTTTCCAAATACCTCAAGGGGCAGGCGGAAAAGAGACARAGCAAGAGTACACATAGAAAAATTTTGTTTAGCATTCCCTAGCACATATCCAACTATGCTTAAAATCACACATTGAGTGTAATCTGTCAGAACCCAACTTCTGATTCTCCTCTACTGGCACTGGCAGTGAATTATGACTGAGTTTCAAATTAGGCTTTAATACAGTGCAATTTGTAGTTTTCTCACACTGATGTGCTGGGACTGTCCAGTAGCCATGGGGGTTTGAGTACATGAACACTCAATATACTCATTTTCATGTTACCTCCTTCCTCTGACTGATTTGTCAGCAGACATCTCTATCCAGAAGCACACTCACTTTTAATTTTGATGCTTTTTCTCTGCCTAATAAACATCTATCCCCAGGTACGAAATTAAGAGAATTATAGAGGTCTCTTAAAAAAGGAAGAGAGGATGAATCCCTSTTCAAGAAGGGAGAGTTAGCATGAGCAAGGAAACTGTAAACCTGTATTCTGACACTTTCAGCAGCTGACACTGCTATAATAAAATCAGAATTTTCATATCAAATTCTGTTTCCAGTGATCAAGCAGAAAAAAAAAACCCACATATATTCATTGGACAGTTAAATACACACAATTCACTATTCCATTACCTGGAATCATGATAACCTTGTTAYTGGCAAAGAAGTAACTTGATATTTGACTTCATATTATGGAAAGTGAGAAAGACCTATATTGTGGTCATGGTGAAAGATACTGAATCCTCAGGAGGCTCAGAATACGGAACATGTATCTTTTATTGCAAATTTGGTTTCAAAGTTCAGGTCAGTGTGATAAGGAAACCCTTTGACCAGCTTATCCAGATGGGGAAAATGGTTTGCTCTACCGATTTGGTTATTAGCTATCCACTTGAGGGCAGCCTTAAGCTACCTAACAGCATCTCTSTAGCACACACCTTGGAAATTTACCTCTTCAAAAGAACATATTTAAATGCAAAGCAACAGTAACATGGATCTATCATTAAAAACCAAAAAAMMCCMAAA